TACTTTGTGCCTAATTTATTAGGGACAATGAATTCAAATTTTGTAATAAGTGCAAAATAACATATAAATAAAAAAAGCTTTTATAATAATATAAAGGTGTTGTCAATAGCGACCATAACATAGTGGTCTATAGCCTATCTGCTATAACTATGCCTGTAGCGTAGCGGATTTATAATAACGGCCGACTTGACTGTTATAACGGCCACTTTTTTCATAATGGATAGTGATGGCTATTAATACTATTTAAATATTTAATGAAAAGTCAAAAAAAAAAAAAAGATTTCAACATCATATCCCTTTTTTAAGGGTAAGGGTATAATGGTCTCTTAACTTACATTCTATTAAAACAAAAAGAAATTCTTTTTTAACCCTAAATAGAAACAAAACCCTAGTTCACTCTTCATTTTATGCATTAGTGTGCTCCCTCACATAAAAGAAGCCAACGCAATCCCTTCCTCTTCTTCTCAAAGAAGCCAAACCAATCACTCATAAAAGAAGTCACCGACAGTCATCGACAACAACCCACACTATCATAGTGATCTGGAGATGTTGTGAAGCCATCAAGAGCAACAAAAATTAGGACTTATATTAGGGGGCAAGCAAGAAAAAATGCAATCCCAACTCCAATCTCTAGAACTCTAATTACAACCTCTAGATCCAGAATTGTTGAAAATGTAGCTAATTTAAAATTTGAAAAGTTAGATGAGAAAGAGGAGGAGTTTGAGACAAGTGCTAATGGTAGAGGTGAAAATGGCCAAGTTGATGATGATGATGATGATTATGAGGTTGAGCAAGAGGAAATGGAAGTTGAAGGGAGTGATTTTGATTATTAGATTTTATGATAAACTTTAAATTCTTAATTTGCATGTATTGAAACTATCAGTGACTTAATATTTATACTTTTTAATTTTGTTATGTTATATAAGTTTTAAATTTTTAAACCTTTTTCATATGGGTTTTATTATGTGATGTGCTTGAAATATTATCTTATTTTTATTAATTTTTATTAGGTCATTTTAAGTCTTTTTATTAGTATATCAATTTTTAACCATATTTATATTTTTTAAAAAGTTTTTGTCGCTATCTTGTCAATAGCAACTGCTTCGCTATCTGTTATGCTATTATAGCGGATTTTGGCATTCTCGCTATTTATTGCTATCTGCGACTAATAACACTGAATTATAAAATATGAATTTTTTAATCTTTAGAGCCCTTACAAATTAAAAATATTTTTTTAATATTAATTATTATTAAAAAATAAACTTTGATGTTTATTTAATTAATCATCTAATTAAAACAATATATATAATATTAGTGATAAAATTAATTTTAATTTTAATTTTTTTATATTAATTAATATTAAAAAAATATATTAATTATACCTTTAATTTATATCCTAAAAATAGAAATTAGATAAATCCTATAAAATATTCAAACTAAAAACTAAAAATTTAAAGAAAATTATTACCTTGAAACTTTACTTTTATTTGGATCTTTATTTCAAATAGTCCATTACCTCGATTGTGTAGGGTGAGGGGTCAAGAGGCTAAACGTAAACTTTTACAAATAATAATAATAATAATAATAATAAAAATGTGCCTCAAAGGCTCAAACATCTTTCTTCTTTTCCAATCTAGATTAAGATAAAGACTTTCATAATCACACTTGGATTTTAAAAATTTTTCTTTTTATATTAGTTACACAATAAAAAATAATATTTTTTCATATTTTATTTTACTCTATTTATATATAATGAGATTGAAACTCAAAATGTTTTATTTTTAATATGAAAAAATTACTATTAAAATATTTAATTGGTTTACGGATTTCCTAAATTGAAATGTCGCTACGCTGCTATTCCAGCCAACGATTTGAATCGGGGGGGGTTTCTCATTCAATCGGCTCATGTGAGTACATTTTCTTCACATCTAACAGAATCATTCGACTCGATGATTTCCAAAGCTAATTTTTCTGATTTTATTTCCTTTTTCTTTTCCCCGGTGAAATCAAAGCAACTTGAAGTTAAGCCGGTTGTCAAATACACTGCTTATTTAATAATTATATTTGTGTAATCTAAACTGCTAAACCTTACTTTCAATAGAACGTGAACCACACCAACAATTTGTTAATTCGAGGGAAAAAGAGTTGGTTTTTCTTTAAATAAAATTTTAACTTTGAATTTTATAAATGAAAAAATAGGCGTTAAAATTTTTTTTTCTTAATAAAGTCCAACGTGACTCAATTTTGGATTAATTAAGATCCAATATAGTTACCGGATATCCAAAAGTTGATAAAAAAAAATAAAAACATGAACAACACTAATAACTTGTTATTTTAGTGAAAAGAGTTCAATTTTTTTTAAATAAAATTTTCAATTTGAATTTTATTAATGAAAAAATAAGTGTTAAAAGAATTTTTTTTAACAAAAATTTAAGGTGATTTGATTTCTAATTAATTTAAATACAATGTAATTAACAGATAGCAAAAGATTAATAAAAAACATAAAAAAATAAAACGTGAACAACAAAGGGAAAATAAAAAAGAGGAATACAATCTATTAGGTTTAATACCCAATTTGGTCCCTGAACTTTCATTTCAAAACTTAGTTCGTCCTTTAACTTCAGAAAGCACCCAAGTGGTCCTTTAACTTCATTTTTCTGGAACCCAAATGGTCCTTCCGTTGACAGGCTGCATACATGGCACATTAAGTATCCAACAATTACCACTTTTAATTTTTTCATGCCTACGTGGAAAAACCAACTCAGCCAATTGATGATATAGCACCATTTTGAGTCCACGTTTGATTCACGCCTTTCTCGCCTCTCCCACCTTCTGAATAAACCAGTGGGGAGGGAAAATGTCATGACAAAGGAAACAGAAAGGAAGGCTAACAGGGGAAGGAGAAAGAAGATTCTTAGAAGGAACACATAGCCTACACGTGACAGGACTTCCAGGGAGGGTGCGCATTGTGCACGCCAGCAACAAGGTCCTCAGTGAAGTGTTTGGAATTTACTTCGGTTTTGGAGATAAACGACACAACAGAACAACTTAGATGTACATGCTAGAAATGGAAACT